AGGCATGCAAGCTGTCCAGGCAGCCCTCAGATGCAGAAGTACAGCTCAGCCCCTCTGTAGTCATGAAATCTGCAAAGCACTGAGAATGGAGTCTTCTTAGGGCTGTGAAATGGCCACACACTGACATAGTGGGCCATGTAATACTCAGGTTTCATTGCAGATGTTATGTTTACAGGGGGAAGTCTGTAACAGGTGTGTATACTGTGTATTAAAATATATCATTCTTATTTGGAGACTCAACCTTATGTTTCAGAGACTAGTTATAGCTGAGGATGACCTTGAACGTCTGATTTTCCCACCCCTCATTACAGGTGTGTGTGTGCCACCATTGCATCTTGGGCCCTTTCATGGTAGTAGGCAAATGTTCTGTCAAGTAAATCTGCATGTTCTAAAACACACCAAGCTCTAAGTGTCCGCTTATTTATTTATTCATAAATCCTGTTCTGAAATTTTTGGCTTGTGGTAATAGTAGACAGTATGCCGTTTTAGAGAAGGTCCCTTCATCCTTTAGGAAGCTCTCAGGTGGTCATGCTTGCCTCTCATCCCTTGGCTCCTGTGCAGTGAGAACTTGGAGCAGTTTTAAAACATAATGTGAAGCTGCAGTCCAGCAAGAGAAGCTGACCCAATGAATTTAGACAGCCTGCAGAGCTGCTCCCACGCTGCTCGTGAACAGTGACCTGGGCGGGCAGAGTCTGCGGTTGCAGGTAGGGCAAGCGGTGTTAGAAGCTTGTGCCGACTTGCAGATCGGGTGGGTTGATGCCCCCTTGTGGTCTGTTGTCAAAATAAATAGCATAAACAAATAAGTACAGGAGCGCTCACTGCATGTTAAACCCTCCCTTATTCCTTCATAAAGGAATGTTTAAAAAGCAGTTTCTAAGGAAAACAAGCGGTTGGGTTTTGGTCTTTTCTTTTTTGTGTAGTCTACGATTTGTCAGGCATGATTTTGGCCTTGGTAGGAGCGTGTGTGTGTGTGCTCTGCTGGGGAGGGCATGGGGACGCGGCAGCAGATGCAGAAGCCTTTAAAGCTTCCTCCATTGCGCTTTCCCAGGCTGGAGGCAGGCTTGTCCAAGTGTGTGTGCTCTGCTGGGGAGGGCATGGGGACGCGACAGCAGATGCAGAAGCCTTTAAAGCTTCCTCCTTTGCGCTTTCCCAGGCTGGAGGCAGGCTTGTCCAAGCATCATGCATGCACTTGGGGCCAGATAGTTGGGATTTAAAACTGATTTCATGTTGCCACTTCTGGGACCAGTTATTCCATCCCCCAAAGCAGGCTTCTTTTTGTTACAAAAGGTTAAGACCTCTGTCATTGGAGTGCTTGAGTGGACTATTGTATGAAGTCTTGTTATGTATCCAAATGTAGAGGTGATTATTTGTCCACTGGCTTGTTAATGCTAGTTTGATTAAACAGTGGTGGGTCAGGT